TATGGTCACTTTCGGTTTTAACACGTGGAAATAAATTAAAATCATCTAATTTCAACCCCGAAACAAAAACTTTGTTGTGTTGTGATTTCAGTGCCTTTTGATGAAAAAGCCAATGGTGAAACATCACTCGCCCAAGAAAGGCGCTATAATAATAATAATAATACATCTTAATTCTCCATAAAAAGTACAATTGAAACAGACAAAAAAATTAAAATGAAAGAACTTTCAGTATCAAGTTGAATAGGCGGAGTATCAGCCAAGGCTGAACTCAACCTGGGAATAGCAATAATTAAATAACAATAATCATAACAAAAAAATTGTATTAACAGTGACACTGTCATGACAAGATCAGAAAATTAGCTAGTGGAACCGCTGTAGAAAATTCATTTTCATATTGCCAAGGTCGGTGAAAGACTAGATAATCAGGAAAGTCGTCAGTCTTTTTTGAAGTTTTCATTATACCAGAATATTTAACAAAAAAACGCATTTCTGTTTTTAATGCGGTTTGCGAGTTTTTTGTAATCAACTATGTAGTTAAGAATCTACATCGCTTTAGCCTAGTAACAGAGAATATTGTGTTAGCTTGACAGTTGTCACTATTGATACTGAGAATTCACTTCATTTCATTTCATTTATATTCTTCAGAGGAAAAACCAGAAGCAATTCATGTTTTCATAGAGGTCGACAGTGATTTTCATGAAGCAGAAAGGATCTTCAATGCAAGATTTCCAAATTCTAACTGCCAAAAATATCTCAGGAAATTGATTAAAATATTTCATACAACTGGAGGTATAGCTAGAGCTGAATGAGCTGGAAGAAAATGTATCTCATACGAGAAACAGATGGAAATCGCAGCGTCTGTAGTAAATAACCCCCTGCAGTCCATGACAACAGTTGCTCGTGTAAATGCTGTCTCAACAACCACCGTCAAGACTTAACATTCTCTCCTTGTAAACTGAAGATATTACATGATTTTATGATTTGAATGAAGATGACCCTGACAGAAGAATGCAGTTTTATGACTTAATCTTCGAACATTTGATTGCAAATCAAAACTGCATAAAAGTATTTGTTTCAATGACGAATGCACTTTTTTTTAAATAAAAATGTCATCCGCCAAAATTTGCGATATTGGTTAGACATAAATCCATATATTTTCAGAGATTACACCTAAACTCCTGGGAAAATAAATGTCTAGGCAGAAATATTTTGAAAGCATATTGTTGGTCCCATATATCTAAAGTAAGAGCTGACTGGTGAACTGAATTTGGAAATTCTTCAAAATCTCATTCACTCACGGATTCGTAAAATTGTGGCCAACAATCAAGGGTTGTAGGCCCATAAAGGATTGGTCGGATTAGACATACCTAGGCATGTGCATTGGTGCANGGAACTATTCTATAAAGATTCAAATTAAAAACAAATCGACACAGTGTAATTATTTTGTATGTGTGGTTTCTCCATGTTTATGAATGCTTATAAATACATTGACAAATTTACTAAGTGTGTTAATAATGAGCTAATGATGTAGACATTTCTTCAAAGAGAACTGTAGATATTGTCAGCGTATTATCAGCAATATTTTTCATTTCTTCTAAGATTATTGAAAAATTATTCGTAAATAAAAAATTGTCATAATATCTACCACTTGCTCATTTATTTACAAAATGATCAGAATATGCCAATTTCCCAAAAATTCTAGAGCTCTTCGCTGTTAGTGGTGATGGAGGCTTCGGCTCAACAGTACGACCCCATGCTTTTGTAACAAAAAAAAACGATAAAAGTTTTCAACAATATTAAATAAAGAAAATTCAATCTTCTGCGAGGTACTTAGCCTTCGTTTCTTCAAAGATTGACAGCAGTAGCCATTCAGGGTAGAAATAATCAACAGCCTGTAAGTTTTCTTGACCCAAGATCTACCAAATAATGAAATCCTGAGTTCTTACGGTTTCAATGAAGTGCTCTGGTCAATATAGCGTTTATGGTCAGTTGAAACCGTCTACTGCTCGAATGTATGTATGTAATAAAAGAATTCGAAATTTTGCAAATCCATAACATCTCCCGATGCCAATTAACCTAACATCAGGGCGATGTTATTTTTCTCAGGGTCAAGATCAATCCGTTATCCAACTATCAGATTCGAATGCGGAATTGCAACATGTCTAAGGCTAATTGCACACACACCGATTTTGGACGGCCGATATCATACCGGTCGTCTAAATTACAATAGTGAACCACATGTATACCAGTTCCCGTTCCCAAATGTGGTTCACTATTGGAATTCGGATGACCGGTATAAAATCAGTCGTCCACAATCGGTGTGTGTGCAATTAGCCTAACACACCTTCACAAAAGTTGCAATTCCCGGAAAACCAAATGGGTTAATCTGCTCAAACGTATTTTCACCTCCGAAAAAGAACCCAATCTATTTTCTAAATTATTTCCTAAGACCCAGCGATAACTAACTCGTGTTTATTCTTATGAAAATAAGCGAGGGTCACTCAGCTTTTTTTTTGTGCGCTCGCAAAAAGCAGATCCCAAGTAAACCTTTTGGACGGTGCCTACAATGAATTCGAATACAGAGTGGTACCGCGATATTAGCCTCACTGCCTGGTTGAGAACGGATTTATCAAAAAAAAACGTAACACACTTCACTCATGTGGCACCACACTTAATGGGGTATACAACAATATTGAAGACCTCGACTTCGCCTTACCTTCGCTTTCCTCAGTTCGAGTGGGTTTATGTCGGAACTGAGGAATTCGTCATGGCCTGCTAGGATGGGGTTTTCAACATCTCACTCTACTACAGTCGCATGATGGCTATGGAGGTTCCTGACACAAGGTGCAGGGCCTGCCGCGAAGCTCTTTAGATCCTAACGCACTTGCTGTCAGCATATCCAGCATATGCGTCATCGATATAACAAGAAGTGCCGTATTTATTAGAACTACCCGTTCCCCAGGCATATTAGCTAATAAACCTCATGTAGTCCTTCTCGACCACCAGAGCAAAACGATATTTGTCGTGGAGTTTTCAGCTCCTGGCGAGACGAATATCGTCAGAAATGATGAGAAAAAACGGATAAAATATCAAGATGCTCTCTTCGAACTCCAGAGACTCTATCCAGACCACTGTGCCAAGATGGAATAGGTGAGTCTTTGGTGGAATGATGCCCTCTCCACTCTCGAATCTCAAAATCATGTCAGCTTGCCGCATTGAGGGAGAAATCTCAGCTGGACAAATGCAGAAGGCTGTCATCCGTGGCTCACTTCGATTGCTCAGGGCACATGATTCTCGGACCCAATGATCACTTCCCATCACACGGTGTGGTGAGTGGTCTTTGGTTGATAATGCTGACGCGTCCCCCGAATGTATCGGAGCTTCGGAGGATAGTGCCTGACCAGCGTAAACTTATGCTTATAAACAATAATAATGATAATAATAATAACACCTACTCTTGAATCTTAAAATCATACTGGCTTGCCGCACTAAGAGAAATTTTAGCCGGACAGATGCATTCTTGGCTCACTGCGCTTGCTCAGGACACATGATTTTTGGACCCAATAATCACAAACCCCATGGTATTGATAATGCTAGCGCGCTCTTCCGAATGTATCGGGGCTTCGGGGGATAGAGCATGACCATCGCATACTACGGTTAAAAATAATGTGTTTTTGCATTGATAGGTTCGAAAAAATACAAAGATAAATCGAACTAAATGAACACACAAATCAACGCAAAGGCAGAGTTCAAAAATCTTGTTCAAATAACATAAAGTACTTGAAATATCATAGATATACATATACACACATCAGTATTGATTATACTGATATATTACTCTCTATCGAAAAGAAAATATTTTATTCAAGTTGGGGCACTATTTGTGATACCACTGGTATTAGAATTTATTGACTACTACAGTCGAATGTCCTGCTAGGATCGCAGAAAATTTTAATTTTTAAAAACGTTAAAGATTCAAATTAAAAACAAATCGACACAGTGTAATTATTTTGTATGTGTGGTTTCTCCATGTTTATGAATGCTTATAAATACATTGACAAATTTACTAAGTGTGTTAATAATGAGCTAATGATGTAGACATTTCTTCAAAGAGAACTGTAGATATTGTCAGCGTATTATCAGCAATATTTTTCATTTCTTCTAAGATTATTGAAAAATTATTCGTAAATAAAAAATTGTCATAATATCTACCACTTGCTCATTTATTTACAAAATGATCAGAATATGCCAATTTCCCAAAAATTCTAGAGCTCTTCGCTGTTAGTGGTGATGAACGAGTTTTGTCTCACCAATATGATCATCAATGAGTATGTCAGAGGAACTTCTCTATGGAATGATATGAATGTTCTAATTTTTTTTGTCATTTCTGAAATTACCGATTCACTACTTTATTGTAATATTTTTTTCTATGAATCCAATGCTAATTTACTTCAGAAAAACCTTTTGTGTATATTTTTGAGATTTCTCAACATCCTCAGTGATCCACGATTTGTTTCTGAACTGATTAGAATATTTTATGAATTTGGTGAATAATGTACTGACACAGCAAGGTACTAATACATCTCAAATGAAAACATATAAAATTCTGAAATTGTTAATGGATACAACTGATTTTTTCAAGTTTGTGAAGCATCACCAGCCTTGGTACGCGTTTGTTCATTAGAAATTTAGATTATCCGAATATGGAGTTTCGGATTCCATTCAATGCTGTTGGAGGTTTCGGTGAATGAACTTGAACTACGATATATTGCAAATGAAAATGATGTGTAGGGTGAATAAATTGGAAGAAGGTTTTGACTGGTTTGAAACTTCTTCACATACTAACAAGAGCATTAGTAATAGGCATTTCTCTCAAAATTATTAAGCTGATTTGTATCCGGGAGCACCTCAAGGTTATCCAAATAACCGATCGTTATTGATGCCAATATCAGTTATAATGAAATTCCCCTTCTCTTGATGTCTTATGATTCTTAAACCTATAAATGAATGAATCAGGTTGAAGTTTTTTAAATAGTTACTAGTCAACTAAATGCTGATAGATCATTGGAATATTGTGTCATTATTTTAATCAGGCAAGGCATCTATTAATATTTGAAATTTTCAAATGTTTTGTTATTTTCGAAAAATTAGAGTTCAAATATCGCAGTTATGGTTCTGAAACACAGATGAATTGACCGCGAAATAGAATATTTTAACAAAGAAATGTATGGAGTACCTTTAAAAAATCGTGATTACTGAAAAAAGAGTGCAGTGTAAAGTGAGAAAATAGGATACATCTGGGTGTCGGCACTTGTGAAAAGTGAATGGTATTAATTTCAATTAAAACCATCAGTTCCAGTATTTAATATAGAAGGTATACGCGGTCTGAAACTGTTAAACATCCCCCTTGTCTGCAAAGTGATTTTGGTATGTATATAAAGTTTAAATTGAAAGGGGTATATTTTCAAAAGTTATTATTTTTTGTACAAAGATGTAGCAGTGAAAGCCAAAAAGATTTCACCCAGTACATAAAGTATTAGATAGATAGATGAATAGATAGATAGACATATACTTTATTGTCCAAGAAATTACAATCTTATTGACAAAGTTTGTTAAAAAATCTGGTATGCAAAGCACTTCAAAAATAAAAGAAAAGAAACAATTTAAAAACACAAATACCCAGAAACACAATTTGAGCAAAACATATGTTATATGTTATATAACATATGTTTCTATTTGATAACATATGTTATATGTTATCAAATAGATAACATATAACAATAAAAAAATTAATTTACCTACGTTTGTCGAAAGAATAGTTTGTATACACAAAAATTTAAATTAGAAATCTGAAAGATTGGTAAAATTTTCAAAAATTATGAAACCGGCATGGCAAAACAAACATATATATTACTTTCAAATTCAGGGTGGAGCATTACTGTATGTACCAAATTTGAAAACAATTGATTTGCAAACAAAAGAGGTATTTAAACGTTCTGCAATACTCTCTACTTTACAAATATTTTGAACTAAAGAATCCATCCGTTATCTTTGATCATTTGAAAGATAATAAAATAAATTATGTTTGGCATTCATGAATTCTTGATGAAAAATACTACTATTTCAGTGGATATTTGAGAAAAATAATATAAAACCTTCCCAGTTTATTCATTTTGACTAAATTACACTAAATAAAACTATCAACATTAATACTGTTCCAGGTCTACTCTAAATCAAGTTTTCAATTCTAACACTCGCTCTAAAGCTGATTTTCGAATAGAAATATTTCTGGTTGATTCCTACTGCTTGAATCTGCTCTGCCAGGATTATTGTTGTGTCTACCCAGAGCACAGCCTCCATGGAAAATAAAAAAACTGGTAGTACGTTTTTCATTCCTTCGATATCTGCTGGATGGTTCGGGCTCATACATTTCGACAAATTTTAGTTTGGATCTGAAGGAGTTGAAAAAAATTTATTTTCCACCACAAAATGAATTATTGGCACTCAAGAAAAATTATTTGTAAACCGCGGACACGTGTTTATGGCTATTGGCCTCATCAGCGCGGTGTAGCCAAGTGCAGAGATGGATTGCCAAAAACGGGAAAACACAGCAGAAACGAACGGAGTCACCAACAGGAGCCTACCGCACATTTGTGATTTCAATTAGGAGACCTAGGATTTCTAGGATATCCTAACATCACCAAGGAGGCAGCTACAGCTACCTGATTGATTTCCGGGTCTAAACTCAAAATTTTATATTTTAACATGGTCCGCTTCAAGAAACAACAGGTGGTTTTTCCTTTTTTGAGAAAAAATAAATATATTTTATGATGTAAATTATTTGTTAGTTTTGAACTTGCTGAGGTTATTTTTAGTCCATACACCTATATATGTTGTGTTCACAAGATCATCCTGCCGCCTAACCTCACGTACACTGTGAGTGTTATTGACTGATCTCTTTTTATAGATCTAATCTGTTTCCTTGTCCATATTGTAGAATCCCTGAAAATGAAAATAAAGATTATCGAAAGATTGGAATCTGTGTTATAAGAGTACACTGTTTTGGTCTGCTGCACACCTGAATATTGTTTCACTCGCAGAATTTTCTGTTTTCCGTGTTTTTGCAAAGCTAACATCAAATTTGATATCAGTGTTTCCGCGAATGATTTGAATTTGAGAAAAAAATCCAGACAAAAAGAAAATCGGTTCTGGAGCGCAAAATATTACATGAGAGATTGTATGAGAAATTATTAAGAGGAAATTTACGATTTTTGAATCTGAAGGTTACAATTTTTCGGAAAACGGAACCACCAGAGCTGTTCAGGTGTCGATGTGTGTTTGAAAATCATTTATCAAAGTGAATTTTTTTCTTCATTAATTTATGGTTTTCTGTTTAGGAAAAAATGAAGCTTACCTTCATTTGTTTCACATCTCTGTTCCTGTTTGCGGAAGGGCAATTTGGAGGAGTGTTTCCCAAACTACAACTGTCGCCAAAATCATATTCCATACCCAATCCCCAACGTATCAAGGGGTCTTTATCTTTTGGAGTAGGCTCACGTGACACTCCGGCTGCTCATGTGGGTGTGCATATTGCGAACCCAGTTCCAGCAACTCTTTTTACAGTGCCACCAAATATTCCTACCATAGGCGTCCCTGTCACTCAACATATTCCGATACCTTCTGCAGTTGTTGTTAAAATTCCCGCCTCTTCTAATGAGCAAAAGATGCAAGAGGAATGGAATTCATTTAGAGTAAGTGATCATTACTTTAAAAATAATTTTTTACTTTTATTATACAAAGGTATTATTGGGATACGCTCAAGCCATCATAAGACACCCGTTTCATGATGTTTTTTTTGTTTATAACAACGTATTCAAATAATACACCTTATTGTGAGATTTTTACTTAACAGTTTATAGAACCGCGACATATGTTTCACTATACAATAGCTTCTTCAGGCGTGTACAGTACTCACTAACAATTTCTACATCGTGCTCTTACATAATATTGTAATTTGAATCTGAATGAATTTCTAACATTATTGGACACACTCATTTATCTCGTCATAAAATAAATATAAAACGACCTAAGACTTACTGTTTGTTATAGTGTTACTATTACTATTAATTTTTTATTGGGCCGAACCAGGAATTTGGCAACCTCGCTAAATTCCGTTACTACATTCAATTCAAGTGATTCAATTTTTGTTACTGGCAATTCGAGAATGAACCTGGTTCAAATTTTTCTTTAATATCTTTAATCCTTACATAATCAATCCAAATTTTTCTTTTACCACGAATCGAAGAAAACACGAATTGCAGCAGCAAGGTGGGTTTACATTGACTGTCAAAAAATCTTTTTGGGGGATTTTGAGGAATTGCAAAACACTAGATATTTTTTTGAACAAGATCTACCCTGTATGCCAATTTTATGATTTTGAAACAAATTCAGTGAAGTTGGGAATTATTCAAATCTATTTGGTCATTGAACAATAGTTCCCAATTCTAAAATCTATTGATTTCTAAACATTCCAAAAGATTGAGTTGAGTAATTATGATTGAGTAATAATGATTGAACTCGTGCCTCTTTGTCAAAAGATGGTTTACAAACGTTGAATTAGTCTTCTCATTCACAAAACTACTTCTAAGTTCTTTTATTCTTTTGGACAAAGTTCTTCCAGTTTGTCCAATACAAATTTGGGACAAGTATCACAAGTCAAATCATATTTTCCTGATCTATCCATCACTGAAGTTTTGCTTTTATTGTTTTTGATGAATTTTCCCAAATTATGATTTTTCTCAAGGCCACATCCGAATCCTTGTATTGCAGAAAAATACAATGTTATTAAATCACTGAAGTTTTGCTTTTATTGTTTTTGATGAATTTTCCCAAATTATGATTATTCTCAAGGCCACATACGAATCCTTGTTTTGCAGAAAAATACGATGTTATTAATAGGTTCATTAAAGTACGTTAATGTCATATTATTATTACTATTGTTATTTTCATTAGAAACACATTTTTGATTAATAGGTAAATTAATATTTTTCCATGCTAATTATTCTGGTTCAGTAATGCGGCAATACTGTTGATATTATCTCAACAATATTGAAAATATTCAGGTTCATGATATATCATGTACCTGAAAGAAGTTGATTCCGGAGGGCAACAAGGTAATATTTAAAATCCTCTTTTCATATAATTCATAGTGCAACAAGTCTTGTGAATATAACATTTAAAGATTATTCTCAATTATATTTAACTTGTTAGTCACCAGACTTCGATTTTTAAAGGTTTTTTGTTAACGGATCACATGTTGAGAATTGAGAAGTCAGTTGCCATTACTCTTGGAAGTGATTGTACTTGGAAAGAAGTGACAAACTACATCTTGAAAAATTCTAAGATAAAATTCAAGCCTTATTTCAAAAATCTGTTATCAATCTTAGATCATTAGCTCAGATTTCATCATCGTATCATCTACTTACTCAAAATTATTTATGAGATTTCACATAACTTGGCAGATTTGAAATGACTGAATATTTTAATTCACAAACTTATGCACATAGCATGCGAAATTATCAAATATGTGAATGTTCGTTTTCTTGTAATATCCTCATGAAAGATGGAACAATTCCTCCACTCTTTTAAAAAATAGAGTTGCAATATACATTTAATTCTACCATTATTCAAAATACCATAGTTGGCCTTTGCAGAGAGACTTTTGATAAAAGTTACCTTTATATCCATGTTACTAGATTCAGAATACTAATTGATTGTTGTTTCACTTCCTTTAACTATTTTCACCCTCCTCATTATCATATCTATCTTTACATATTTGGAAAATATTCATGGCTGAAAGTTTGGTATTGGTTATTATTGATGGGTAGTAAATTCATTCCCGTTATTATTGAATATTTACATGAAATATCAAATAAATCAACTACCTAATGACTCTAAGTAATTGTTCAAAGCTCTGAATATCAATATACCATAGTAAATTAAAAACTTCCCAACTTTATTTATCAACCATGAAAATACTTTATGTTGCTGGTTCCATGAAGAAAACAGTTTTTTCTCAGCATTTTGTCAAACAAGTTTGTCGCTATTAAAACTCGCAACAGTGATTATGTTGATACGTTCAGTCAAGATTATGCCAATGAAGTAGCCGACTTTTATGGAAAGATTACTATCGAAGGATACGTCGGATTATTGAGTGGAATACCGTTTAGATAAATTTAATGGAAAAATTCCTTTAGTTTAGCAATGAAGATGAGATGGCGTAATTGAAGTGATTTGAAACTCTTCAGTTTAATGATTTTCCTTTTATTGGTTCTGTAGTCAAATGGAACTTGTACCGCAGTTGCAGACGAAACGTTAATTGGCACTACGGATTCCATTCGACCACAACATATCAGCTCTCTAATCGTGACTTAATAATAATAATAATAATAAAAGGTCGAAGTTTAGGTTAAGACTATTCTTAGACTCAACCTAAGTTTTACAATTGAATAATAATGTATTACAAAAGCATTCTTATTGAAATACAAAATATGTACATGAAATAGTGATCTGTTTTTCCGTTAATCTGATTTTTCGTTAATCAGCTGTCGCCCCCATACGAATGACAACTCTCAGAAGTTGAGAAACTTTTGCGAGCTAAGGACTAATGAGGTCTTACCTTTCAACGGGAAATTCCTAACATTCCTATACGTGTGATTCCTATACATCAATTATCAAAACCTATAAAATAGTACATAGTATATAAATAACGGGTGTATTTTATAATTCATCCTGGCTGTTGAAGAAAATTGATTTTCAAATGGCGTTCAAACTGATATTTAGATAAATGAAGCCAATTGATGAGGAATGAACTGTGCACTTTGACGGCTAAATAGGTGGAAGAGTTCTGAAACAGGGCTGAAGAGCGATGTGGTACATGCAAATGATATTTATTTCGGCTTTCTTCGGCTGTGAAAGCTTATGTAATGCCTTATGTTTTCCCAAACACTCTCGAAATCCAAAAACAAACTATACGTAGAGAAAAGTCCAGCCGATGTCCAAATTTAAATGGATTACCAAAGATCCATGAGTAGAAGACACTTCTAAAATCTTCACTTGGATCTCCACTACAGCCACTTGAAAAATACCCAGCCAGCATAAATCAGCCACTACGACAGAACTCGGAGTATTTCACCAGTCTCAAAAAAACATCACATAAGACATAACATTTTTGTATCCCAACGTGTTTATAAATGAAGAACTAGACCAGATAGTCATGAACGAGGACGTACCAGCTCACGTTATCAAACTTTAAGACCACTGCTTGAAAAATACAAAATTAAGCTTCAACAACAGACTTTACAGACAGAAAGAAGGTGCTCCAATGAGTTCCACTTCATCACCTGTCATCTCCATTATTCAAGGGCTTTTTCGAAACCATGGTTTTGAAAAACGCCCCATATTCTTTTTATCATTAATCAATGAATGTGAATGATTACTTGAAACCTTCGAATACAAACACACACCAGAAGTGCAACCTGCATCGTTCATCGTTCACATATACAATATAGTTCATCTCTTCATACACATATATAGTTCATCTCTGATGACGCTAACGCATTTGTTGAAACTCGCGCCTAAAATAATGTTGCGATTTTTGTGTATGGTAATAGTATTTGTATTAGATTAATTCTACATCATAGGTTCCAGTGCTACCATTCACTCAAAATCTCAATCAAAACGTAGAAATTGTTATCCATTTTTTTTCTAGACCACATTCAATAAGGTTTATCCGACCGCGGAGGAAGAAGCCCTTCGAAGGGAAATTTTCTTCGAAAACAGGGCAAAAATTGATCGTCTGAATGATGAATACTCTCAAGGCAGAAGAAGTTACGTCCAGAGACTTAATCCCTTTGCAGATCTTTTACTTCACGAGTTCACTAGAGCTTTCAACGGGTACAATAGGTCTACCAGCACTCCTAGAGTCAGCATTCCACAATCAACTGCCTTCATACCCAGCGCCAATGTAATATTCCCCAAGTCTGTCGACTGGAGAGAAGTTGGAGCAGTCACAGATGTCAAGTATCAAGGAAAATGTGCGGCATGTTGGGCTTTTGCAGCGGTAAGTGGGCTTTTCTTTGATTTAGTGAATTTTATAACTTTATATTGTTCGATTTGTTTTCTTTTAAGATGGGACAAATGATGAATGTATTTCATCATTAAATTTGATAAATTTTGTCATGCAATAATATCTAATGGATTTCATAACTACTTCACAAATAAACAAAAATAGAGATGGTTTACTAATTCAGTGATATAATATTTTTTGGTTCTTGTTGAGCTTGCCTCAAATTACCGCTTGTATTTGTTTCCATTTCTCTAATCTAACATTCTTTCTGTTAATATTCTTTTATAAATATTACTGAATTTTTTTTTCAGTAATATTTATTCAATTCAGTAAACGCTTCAAAAATCAATGAGAGGAAGGATTACTATCGAAAGATACGTCGAATTATTGAGTGGAATACCGTTTAGATAAATTTAATGGAAAAATTCCTTTAGTTTAGCAATGAAGATGAGATGGCGTAATTGAAGTGATTTGAAACTCTTCAGTTTAATGATTTTCCTTTTATTGGTTCTGTAGTCAAATGGAACTTGTACCGCAGTAGCAGACGAGACGTTAATTGGCACTTCGGATTTCATTCGACCACAACATATCAGCTCTCTAATCGTGACTTAATAATAATAATAATAATAATAACTCGTCTTTATCTCCTTTCTGTACATAAAATAGGCGAAGTTTAGCTAAGGGTGGTCCCAAAATTGTATTTATTTTTCAACATAATCCCCTTGCAGCTCTATACACTTTCCCAGCGACTTTCAGCAAGTTCGAAACCGTTTTTATGGTAAAAACTGTCTTGCTCCTCAAAATAGCCATTAACTGCAAACATCACTTTTTCATCGTTGGAAAATCTTTGACCACTGAAACGCTACAATAAGTTCGCATAATACTCACCATTCATAGTTTTACTTTTTTTTTTTTAATAATCGATGAAAATTATCCCACGCGCATCCCAAAAAACCGATGCAATGACCTTGCCTGTACACGGAACGGTCTTTTCCTTCTTTGTAGGCGAAGAGAAATTTTTTGATAAGTTTGTGAAGAAAATTATGTCACACTGAAATAATCGCAGAATTCCAATCAAACTAATCACTGAGTTGACGAAAAATAAACTAACTAAAACAAATCAAGTTCAAGTAACACCTTATTATGATATTTTCATTTGACAGTTTACAAAATCACAACACGTGTTTCGCTATACAATAGCTTCCTCAAGCACTTCACGAAGCCATTGTTCAGTCGATATGAAAACGTCTGAGGCAAAGAATGTGTTGCGGTTTTGTGAATTGTCCAGTGAAAATCTCACAAAAGGTGTTACTTCAATGCGTTATGGTTTTTTCAAAAAGTATATATCGGTCAATTCCATCACCTAAAACTAGTTCATCCCATAAAAATGGGATACCTACTTGAATCTATTATCGCTAATACTTCAATTAGGAAGGCAATCATTCCATGTAGATTCATAATATGTTTTCTTTCAATTAATTACTATCTAAATTACAATGTAATATTTTCATTCAGTAATTGAAAAATGGAAAGCCCATTTTCATTCTCTCTGTATTGGACTCTGAACCTAAAAAAAAAAAGATTTTTTATATTGGTAAATACCAACCGCTTTCAAGTATAATCTTACTGCAATATGAACTTGACATTAGTTTTGTAATTCTTGCAAACCTGTTTCGATTACAGTGACAAATCGTTATTTATTTCACATCTTGGTGAAATGGTTATAAATATTCAGTTTGTTTTAATCAATAACTCTATTTGAGAGTACTAACATTAATGAATCTCTTATTTTCACAGTTCTAAATGACTTTTTGCCTTTTTGAATTCATAGGTCTTTTTCTTTCTTTCTTATATGATAAGCAATTATAGTGTTTTTGGTAATCTAGACAGATACTATCTCTTACTATACTGAATAATTGAGATTGGCAAATTCCTGTTAGAAACAAATACCGCTCTATTTCAAAGGATTAATTCCTGCAAATACTTTCTACCATCTGCCCTTATGAAAACCTTAATACTGGAGTCTATAAAAACTCTGTTGCGAAGTTTTGACTTCGACCGCCGAAAGAGAAATCGCTCTCTATTGCTCTGCAGCTCTCATTGCAAGCAAGATACCTTTTGAGTTTAAGGTACTCGAACTTTATACAAAAATTGACTGAGTGAAAGGGGTATTTTCAAATGCTACAACAGCTAATAACATCATAGAGGGTACAGAACAAGAACAGATAATAGCATTTCATTATAGAGAACATATAATAAAAAATGAGACATAAGATTTCCTATGCTACTAACGTTACTGCAGTTTCGTCCTATAAGAACATTTTCAAACGAATACAATAAACTGAAATAATTAACAATGTTAACCCTTATATACAGTGCATTCCATTTAAAAATAACCACCCTGAATAACTTTTGTTACAAAGATTCTCAGGAGAAATGAAAAAACACGTCAACAATAGTATACAGGGGGACACATTTTGACATATTCACATTTGATGTTACTTTCCCTATCGCACCACCATATATTGTTTTATATTATCAGATGCTCCATGACGAGCAGATTTCAACAAAGTATAAAACATATGGTCTGAAGCTTATAGTTCGGGAGGTTCAAATTATTTGAGTTGAAAACGAGCCACCCTAAATAACTTTTCAAACAATGATTTGCTGAAAAAATAAAAAAAACTGATCAACAATTATATAGGAGGCCACACTTTGAAGTATGTTCGTTCTAGAGACAAATATGGAAGCAATGAATCCGAAAAAGAGATTTTTTATTAATTCTTGAATCAAAATCTGATGACTGGATGACAAGAAAAAAATTTTCCATAGTAAATTTTTAAACGTATCCACCAACATATGATGTGGTCACCTGAAATGCCTGCCCAAACATTCAGTTTTTGAGGTCGTTGAGTATAAACTTGTCGGTATAAATGAGGATTCGTATCACTTCAATATCAACAAATTTTTCGATTCACCTCTCCATTCAAACCAAACTTACATTCATCCGAAAAACAAATTTTATACAAGACATTCTGATGCAAGTTGATCCCTTCAGTGAGACTTTCACAAAACTCGATACGTGTATCGAAATCATCTTCGTTCAATTCATGAACTAGTCTAACCTTATATGGATGAAATTTCATCGATGACAACTCCTGAACTGTTATGCTTTTTATTGTTAACAGATCCAGTTTCCATAATTTTTTTCAATAATTCCGAAACGTATTTATGTCGTATATTTCTTCCTGGATGATTATCATTGAATATACGGGCAGCAGCACTATTTCCATTCTGGTAGTACAAACTCACTATTAGGAAAAGGATAGGGGAAGTAACATGAAATGTGAATATGTCAAAATGTGTCCCCCTGCAAATCATTGTACCAAAAGTTATTCAGGGTGGTTAGTTTTGAAGGAAATGCACTGTATCTACACACAATTGTAGGTAATAACAGACAGTCTTCAACTGAGTACCCGCATTTTGTTTACCTGTGACAATGTTCGGGTATGCTGATCTGAAAATCGGCGAATAGACTAGGTCGATTCGGTAATTTAGCAGGTTACATCCGCAATGCTTATCCTTTCTGAAAAATCCTGCAATTGCCTTTGTTTTTTTACCAAAATATGTTGAAGTCACAAATTTCTTGATTTCTGATTGTTTGATCTGGGGGTACCTATAACAATTTGTAGATACGTAAATTTGAGGCTTTGTTTTCTGACTGTCTCCGTTGAAACCATCATTATGTCCTATCTGTATAATTATTTTAATTTCACTATATGGATTGTTAGCAGACAAATATAACGAGAATGCTCTGTGTAACAATGAATTGTAGGCTGCTAATTCATGACTGTAGGGATGGAAAGAATCATTTGGAATTGTAGTGTCTGTATAGGTCGGTTTTCTGAATACATTGAATTCAAACTGAAAGATTAATCTGTATCTCAATCTCTCTTTCGAGTGTTTACTGTATGTTTCCATTGCATTGACAGATAATGGAGATATAGGGGCATGTAAAATCATTGAAGTAATTCAGAAACATACATTTGCATTATCAAATCATAGATAAACAGGCATAATAAAAACCATACAACAAAAAATAAGAGAAAACGATCTTGTTCTGCCGATGAATCGAATGCCATCGTTATACTTGAACGAGAAACATGTATCCAGAAATTGAATTAGTCATTCCTGCCAACAGGAAAAACCTAACAAGAAATATGCAAAATGAACTGGAAAATTTCCTTTCAGATACTAAACTTATTTTCACTGAATTAGAGAAACGATAAATCATCAACATTAACCCCTCGTGTCCCAAACTATATGGCCTAATAAAACACATAAATAAGATAACCCCACAAGACCGGTGGTTTCCTTTATAAATAGTCCAGTAAGAGAACTAGGAATACGGCTAAACAAGTGGTTCAAAAATATTACCAATTTCATCCCAACTCACTTCATTAGAAAAAAATAAGTAACCAAACCACGCCACATTATTCTCATTTCAGTCTCATTCAATGTAAAAGTGTGTTCTCCAACATACTGTACAACGAATTTAAGATTCTCATTTTAAATACAGTGTGTCCCAGCTGAAACTTGTCACCCCCCTAATCTGCGAACTCGTGAAAAACATTGAAAATCGCTCAAACCCGTCGATTTTTATTTTAAGGGGGAACAGTTTCACCAAATACATCATCATTGTGTTGTCAACCCCCTCATCCCCGGAACACCTACTTCCGAATTTTCAATTGGACCACTATACTTGTGATACATCATTTTGAAGGGAATTCAATCCCATATACATCGGTGTATTGAAATTGATATAATCGATCAAGTGTTGTTGCAGTTTTAATGAAAACTGAATTTCATCAAAATATTTTTATTTTTCATCAACTGAAATGTTATCATAGTAAGGAAGATTCACTGTGAGTACGCCACTGTATTGAAAAATAATATGCTTCCAGAAATAATAGTTTTGAAGGTGAGACAGAGGT